TGTTTACTCTTGTCCTCATTCAAGGAGAGGCGTCTGGCATCTCAAACGAACAAACCGATCGGCGAGATTTGCTGTTTGAAATCGAGGGAGGAGTTGAAAACAGCAGTCGTAGCCTACTTTCTGATTGCCGCGACTCTCGCACAGTGTTTGTTGTCTTTATTGCAGATGAAGTTGGTTAGATATATTTGTCAAATACACAAACGTTTTATTTACATGGTAACTGTTGTGACGTCATCACGTAAGAGGGAGCAGTAAAAGTGGATGGCAAGTTCAATCAGGCGTCTGTGTGGTTTGATCCGATATAAATAGTGAGTTTATAACAATGGCGACGAGGATGGGATAACAAAGACTGACTCCTTAGTTACGCGAAGCACTTGCACTGGTGTGGGCATGTGAACGACTGCACCCATACATGTATGGTCAGAAGTTTGATCTGGTCACAGACCACAAGGCATTGGAGGCAATTTACAGCCCTCGTTCAAAACCATGTGCACGAATCGAAAGGTGGGTCTTGAGATTACAGCCCTATGATTTTCGGGTGATTCATATACCCGGAACGCACAACATTGCAGATCCTGTGTCACGCCTGCTGGGGCCATCGGCCAAATGTGCGACCCACGCACATGAAGCAGAGGAATATGTGAGATTCATAGCTGTTTGTGCGACACCAAGCACCCTGACCACCAAGGAAGTTGAGCATATCTCAGCAAATGATGTGGAATTACAGAGACTGAAAACTGCCGTTCAAACGTTGTTTTGACGACTGCCCTGCATACAGACATATTGCAGGTGAGCTATGTGTCATTGGCCAAATAATACTCAGAGGGACAAGAATTGTTTTGCCACAGTCGCTGCGTGGAAGAGCGTTACAGTTGGCTCATGAGGGTCATCTTGGTGTAATAGGAACAAAACAACACCTGAGAACAAAGGTTTGGTGGCCCGGAATGGACAGGGCCGCAGAAAGGTTTGTGAGGGCGTGTCATGGTTGTCAGCCGGTAGCGAGACCAGATGTTCCAGAACCTCTGTCACCCACAGTGATGCCTGAAGGGCCCTGGCAAAACTTGGCCACAGACTTGCTTGGTCCTTTACCTGATGGACATTCGATCCTGGTCGTTGTTGACTATTACAGTAGGTACTACGAATATGCGATCCTCAAATCCACAACTGCAGAAAAAGTGATTGACAGTTTGGAGGACATTTTCAGTCGGCATGGACTTCCCTTAACAATCAGGTCAGACTGTGGGCCGCAATTCAAGTCCAGTCAGTTTCAAACGTTTTGTCAGGAAAATGGAATCCACCACATTAAAACAACCCCAAAGTGGGCGCAAGCAAATGGGGAAGTGGAAAGACAAAATGCATCACTTATGAAACGAGTACAAATTGCCCAAGCTGAAGGCCAGGACTGGAGAAAAGAGCTACGCAAGTATGTGACTGTCTACAGATCCACAACGGGCAAAAGCCCAGCAGAACTTCTTTTTCAGAGGAAGGTAAGAGGAAAGTTACCAGACATTGCAACACCCCACAGTGACCTGGAAGCTCGAGATGGGGACGCAGAGCAAAAAGGAAAAGCCAAAATATACACAGACAACAGACGGAATGCAAAGACATCTGACATAGAGGTTGGAGATCAAGTGCTTGTGAGGCAAGACAAAACAGACAAGTTCACAACAACATAAGTTTAATGAGTTCCAAGGACGTTAAAGGTTATGTTAGTTCAAGAAAAAGAAAAAAAAAGGTCCCAAATGAGTTGGTTCAATGTATTTGTTTTAAAAGCATTGGGGATGTTCTATGAAGTTGTGAAGAGCTGATAAGAAGAAAAATAAAAGTTGTTACATGTCTTGAATGTTCTGAAATCTGTGAGTTGTAAGAAGATGTGAATGAGAATGTGTTAGATAGGGTAAGTTCATATTCAAGTAGAGGGGGGATGTTGTGTATTGGTGTGACGTCATCACGTAAGAGGGAGTAGTAAAAGTGGATGGCAAGTTCAATCAGGCGTCTGTGTAGTTTGATCCGATATAAATAGTGAGTTTATAACCGTAACAGAAAGCATTTTCATTCAATAATTTATGTACTGCTTAATACAGCGCCTGTATGTTCAAGAATAAAGTTAAACAAAACAAGCTTGTGCTAAATATCAATAAAATGGGGTCTATATTTTTCCGCTTTATTTAGATAAACATGACATAAATAAATAATAAATATATTACGTTTACATAAAAAGCCTTTACTGTTAAAAAATAAATATATATCAAATGTACGTCAGCTGTTTTTTAAGATCTCATTGCATAACGAACATAAAATACTATCGATCATATCAATCAATAATAATTCACAAAGAAAAAGAGAGTTTACATGTAAAGTCAAATTAAACGGGGGAAGTAATTGTAGAGGTCTATAGTTCTGCCTACGGCTTCTTGCATTGTTTCAATATAAATATAATTTTATTCTTAAACTGGATAATATTAGGTTTCTTTTCAGATCACTTGCATTTAGGGATGTAAAACTTGCCTTAATATGAGAATATTTAATATAAAAAAATATGATTTGTGTCCGTGTAATTTTTCCCAAAGTAAAATATAAAATTCCGACGTTTGTCTTTTTTATTGCAGAACAACTACTTGCATTACATAAATATACACAGAGAATTTATCATCGTTATCATACAAATCTGAAAACAAGTCTATGACATTGCTACAGTTGCTGCAAGCCAGCCTCCCAACCATCTAAAGCAGATGTAGAATATCGTTCGCAAAAGAACCCGACTGCAAGTAGGCCTACATTCATTTTATTAATATAAACTCATAGAAAAATCACTTGCCGTCCAGCTGCATTTCGCGCCTCGGCAATGAAGTCATGTGCAAACAACGTGAAGCACATCTGTGGTCGGTCACACAGCTGCGTAGCTACACTAGTTTTACAAGTTAGTCATCTAACAAATTAGTTTAAATTTGTAAGTGGATTGGTCTAATTTGAATCCAGAAAGTAAGACTGATTTTCCCTTGGTAAAATGTTGGTCAGACCAGTTCTTAAAACCCCTTAACTGTCACCGTTCCGTATACGGGACGCCTTAAGTTTTCTTCAATATATTACAATTAAATCCTAATCTAATCATGACAAACTATATATCGTTGGAAAGGCTCCTAAATAGATATTTTACCACTGTTTGTTGTTAAAAAATTATGTAGGAGCAGTAATAGATTAATTTATGACAAGAGTGCACCTCAAAACATATGGAGCTCTGACCTTTGTCACAAAAATTCTTTTAGTTTCCTTTTTTTCCTATCACATGTTTTAGTAATCATCATATATATTATATATCATTTGAAAGCTTAAAAATCTCAAAATTCATCCTGTGAAAACCGTTTTGAAATCAGACATTGCGTTACCATAGAAATGGACCTTAAAATATTTTAGTGGGCTCCTTCCCCTTACAAAATGTATTAAGGTCTTTTGGAATCAAAACTTTTTAGAATCTTGACAAAATACATATCGTCGGAAAGGTCTGAGTCTCAAGATTCCATATTTGGTGGTAGGAGTAACACTGAGAGAGAAACTTATACATATGTGACAGACAAATGCATCAAAAACATTCAATGGGGTTTGGATGGCACCTGGTGGCTGTTTGTGATATAACATCTAAACAAAATTGCATAGTAACCTCAATTTTTTTTATATCAACTTCAAATTTGGAGCACAACTTATTTAAACATATGGCTTTAATTTTATGCCAAATTTGGATTAAAACCGATTTTGTAAAATATTTATTTGATATCAAATAAAATAAAAATAGTACAGTACATTTTCTTTACAGTAAATTTGTGCAGTAAATAAAACTTCTATAACTTCTTTTTTAACTTTCATTTTTTTAAATGATTTCACTTCTGCAATAATCTACTGATTGTCTTCTTTAAAAAGAGACCAACCTTAGGTCTGTATTCAAAGGCGTTCATGAATTACAGAAATTTAAGTTTGAATAGTGTACTTTCAAGTCTATGTTGGGGGGAGGGGGGGG